TACATAGGCATGTAACTCTAAATTACGACTAAGAAACTTTGAATAGGTGATAAATAACAAGAAAAATAAGGCATGCAAAGCTCTTAAGGTTTTTAAAAGCAAGTTTAACAAAGAACAGCATGTAATATATTTAAAATCCATGGTGATGCTCTCAATGTGAGAGCCCTTAAGATAAACTTGGGAAACTTAGATAAGAGATTAAAATAAAAGGGACCCCGTAGACCAGGGCCAGGATTCTCATGGATTCACTCTAATGTGAAGCTACCACATGAAATACTCATCCACATGCAAAAAGAAGAAACTGAACCACGATCTCACACAATAAACAAAAATCAACTCAAAATGATTTAAAGACTTGAATGTTAAGAAATGCTTACAATTATTTGAGCTCTCACAGAATAAACTCCCACTCTTCTAAGCTTACCTTTTTATGTCTAATTCTGAAATACAGAGTTGAAGAGCGATATGGAAATCTCAGCAACCCAGGCATGTGAAAAGCATTGCAAAATCAAATTTAGAGAGTGACCAAAAGAAACAGGAATTTCTGTGGTAAAGAATCTCCTTTTCTCATGATCCAGTAATAACCCTACTGGGAATTTACCCAAAAAATACAAAAACACTAATTTAAAAGGATACATGCACCCCTACATTTATTGCAGCGTTATTTACAATAGCCAAAATATGGAAGCAGCCCAAGTGTCCATCAACTGATGAATGAATAAGAAGATACAGTATAGGGGCGCCTGGGTGGCTCAGTTAGTTAAGCACGTCCAACTCTTGATTTTGGCTCAGGTTATGATTTCGTCATCCTGGGATCCTGCCCTGCATCTGGCTTCCCACTCTTCGGGGAGTCTGCTTTGCACTCGCTTGCTCTCTCTCTCTAAAATAAATAAATAAATCTTTAAAAGAGAAGACGTGGCCTATATAGTCAATGGAATATTACTCAGCCATAAAAAGAATGAAATCTTACCATTTACAACAACATGGATGGAGCTAGAGCATAATGCTAAGGAAAATAAGTCAGAGAAAGACAAATACCGTATGATCTTACTCGTATGTGGAATTTAAGAAACAAAACAAAATGGAATACTAGTCAGCCATCAAAAAAATGAAATCTTGCCATTTGCAACAACATGGATGGAACTAGAGGGTATTATGCTGAGCGAAATAAGTCAATCAGAGAAAGACAATTATCATATGATCTCACTCATATGTGGAACTTAAGAAACAAAAAACAGAGGATCATAGGGGAAGAGAGGAAAAAATAAAACAAGATGAAACCAGAGAGGGAGACAAACCATAAGAGACTTAATCTTAGGAAACAAACTGAGGGTTGCTGGAGAGGAGGGAGCTGGGGGGGATGGGGCCACTGGGTGATGGACATTAAGGAGGGCACGTCATGTAATGAGCACTGGGTTTTATAGAAGACTGATGAATCACTGACCTCTACCTCTGAAACCAATAATACAGTATATGTTAATTGAATTTAAATTTTTAAAAATGAAAAGAAAAAAAAAAAGGAGCAAAAGTTAAAAAAGAGAGAGGCAAACCAAGACAGACTCTTAACTACAGAGAATAAACTGATGGTTACCAGAGGGGAGGTGGAGGGGAGATGGGGGAAATAAGTGATGGGGATTAAAGAGTACACTCATCATGATGAAATAAAGTAATTTAAAAAGTAAATAAAATAAAATGAACTTTTAAAAAAAAAACAACTCCTTTTCCACAAGTTCTTTAAAAAGAGAAGGGGACTAGATTCTCACGTCTGGTATGAGTCCATTGTAGTCCTGTTAGGACCAAGGGATTAGGGAAAGGATCCTGCTGAGACTGTGATGGCCCCAAGATCCCATCACCTGCATTCAATCTGTTGGCCATCAGCTCAGGCATTTCTTAAGATGCGCCTACGCCAAGGCTAACCGACCCATTCTGTAAGTCGTAGTTTATGAAGCTAGGGTTTCTTTTGTTATCCTCCTTAGGTATGAAATGTCTAGGAAAAGGATTCTGTTCCCCTCTAGCCTCACCCGACATTAAAACTTTGGCACGAGTCATACTAAACACAAAGTTTAAAGGCTAGTTTGGAAAACCAGGTAACAGGACGTGAAGGAAGCTAGAGAGAACCATTAAGACTGGGTTTCCCCTCCTTTGGGAAGTCCATTAACCTTTACATAGAATCCTTAACAGCTCTGTAAACGAAAAGAGAATATGGATTTGTCCCAGAGTTATTCAGAAGTTGAATTTAAATTGAGCAATTTAACAAAATTCAGTTTTTAGACTTAACTTCTTTACACCCTGATAGGTGCAAAAGAATGTATCTCCAATTTTTTCCTTTTTTTGTGAGGGAGAGTGTATAGGAGCATCCATGGGTTTATAATAGCAAGTCTTAATATTAACAGTATAAAGTAAAAGTACTTAAACAATTTCACTCAGAAAACTTAACAATTTGGTTTTTACATTGTCTATTTGGGTTAGATGCTGTTAACTGCTAATAACTTTCTAGTCAGCAAATACTCCATTTGGCTCATTTAACACTTGACTCAGCTAACAAAAAGCATGTGGCCCAAATTTCCTTTGGGTGCATCCTGCATAGTTGTGCCCAACAGTGACAGTAGCACGCAGTGTAATTGCTAAGCACCCAGAAGTACCTTGATGGCTTCTCCACTGGAGAGCAATTTGCTTTACAAAGTTAGCCTGTGACACTCATGCAAGAGATTCTAGTCCCTTGTACAATCAGGCCATACAACATCTAAAGCAATCTACAAACAGCCCTATTTGTGTTTTTAAAGCAGTCTACTAACCCACTGGGTCTTATACCCCCAATCAGACTAGTGCGGTGTCAGAAACATCTATTTATTACTGTCACAGCAAAAGCCCATCTCTGAGGCTAATAAGTCTTCTTAATTAAAAAAAGCTGAACCACAAATGGACTGCTCATTGATCACAGCTAAGCTTATTGGAATGTTCTTTTCATTGTCTTCTTTTGCACATAGATATATAAGAAGCAATATACCATACAGATATTTGAGAAGGAATAATAGCTGGCTCCCTATTATTCTAACATTCCAATTCTTAATTTAGGCAAATACGGTATTTCTGATTCCTGATAGTTGTTAGAAAAAGAGATTCTGATTATAATCAACTTTTCTTTACAGTGAATTTGTAAACAGTGTAATATTTCCCATGGGCTAAAAGTGCTTTGGATATCTAAAACGAGTTATTGAAGTATGTCCAGTCTAATTGCCCCACACCACCCACCTTTGCCTCTAAGAGCAACACAATGTTTTTCTCTATGGCAAGATGGATAACCTAAAAAACAGGGCTCTATTTATAAGACAGTGAGAAAAATATCTGTAATCAGAACAATACTCAAAAATCTACAAGTTAAAATCCCCATATTATAAGAACCCAAAAGGAGACGAGGCCACATACATTGTATTATTCAAATGGCAATGTATTCACATTAAACGTACAGGTAAGTACACATGTTCGGTATCAGGTAAGGACACTAGATTCTGATGGAAACCTTTCAGATTCATTTTAAATTTAATCCTGTTTCATGTTTAGAAATAAAGTAACACTGGAAGTTTATCTTCAAAATGTACAATAGAGAAGGAAGTCTACATAAAATAGGCCATGACAACTGTCATCACTTTATACTAAAAATGGTGGCCCAAATAGGGCAAATCACCTTAGAAAATTAAGAAACTGCTTTTTTAAAACTCAGGGACTTGTCTACCTGACCATAAGTCAAAATGTTACCCTATGAAATACAATATATAATGGCGGTTCTCTAACTTCAGGGAGGCTCAGGAACCACCTGGATACTTGGAGAAAATTAGAGAAACTATGTGACCTGTCCCCAAAAATACGCACACAAAACTTCAAATATAGTAAGAGGTTCATACATCTTCTGAAAGTAAAGAAATCCAAGCTAGATGGACGTTACCTGGTTACACAGTGACACACAAGTCAGGTAAAGTTCTAAGTTCTTCAATAAACATTTTAGGTTACTTTATACAAACTACCTTTAATGATGGACATAATTATATGAATTTCCCATAAGAATTAGTCGGCATCCATAAAAATCCTTGGAAAGGTCAGGTTCAGCAAGAATAACTAAGTATCCCAAAATGCTCTTTTCCTAACTCAAAAAAGCTCTAGTCATCACCAAGACTAAAGTTCCTAACATACAAAGAGATGAAGAATCCTAGGCATATGAGACATTCAAAATAGGGATGTTCTTAAATGCGAAAAGGCTTCCCATAGACTCTTATATCAGAAATGAAAATACTTTTTACAGTTAAATTAGGAATTACTTAAATTTTAACATTAAATATCACATAATATAGCACATAATATTTTACATGTCATCAGGGTACGAACAACATCTTGTGAAAACTGAAATAAACAAATCTTTAAGAAGTTAAGACTAACCAATTTACCTGAACTATCTATTTTAGCAATCTCAATAGCTCAAGTTTATATAGCATTTGCTAACTGGATCTTGTAGACTCTCGTTAAGACTTTATCTAGCACTATGCTGTATTGTTACTTCCCCATCAAAAATAAACTAGATAGAAATTCAGACTCTTCAGTATGTTTTAACAAGTAGTTTTATAATAAAACTTGACAAAAGTTCAAGATACTAAATGTGTTAAGATTTTTTTAAACTCTGAAGTAGATATGGTATTACATAGTGGGAGAAAAAAACTCCCCCAAAGCCCCTGTCCAGGAAGAACAAGAAGGACATCAAGATGTTCTAAGCAATTTCCTGAACAGCAGGAAATGAAAGGCTGGAGATGCCCAGTGTCTGATCAGTTTACTTTTTTTTGTCTAAATAGGCTTACTCATTATTAACTGATTAAAGATAACACACATATGATATTAAAAACTAAAATCTAATGGTTCTACTGTCATGATTGTCAGTTAATACTCAAGTAGGAAGAAAGTTCATTTAGTTCCCTAGTTTTCTGGAGGGAAAAAAAAATCTACCTCCTGGACCATTTCAGAACTGCATAGCTTTTATTTTACATTATTAACATCAATTGTAGAAGTTGCTTTCCCAAGTCAGACAATTATATCCTCCAAGACAACACTATGCCCAAGTCCGTGCTGATGAAAATTTATTTTCGGTTATAAAAGGTCACGTTTCTTTCTCATGTCCATAACTCATTCCAATGATTGTTTCAATCACATTAAACAGAAAATGTGCTGGGGGCCATCTTGGATTTTTTCTTCCAATGAAGAACTAGCAGACTATGTCTAAGTGTAATTTAACTAAAAACACTACTTCAACTTCAAATTTATTTTAATGATATGTACAGGAGTTAACAAATTACAATTAAAACGGAATCAGTTATGTTAATTCCACATAACTTAAAATCATGCAACACTGCATGGTAAAAACAGCTTCATTCATATACAAAAAAGTATTATTTTGAGACTTGTAATAGTATATTGAAATTTTTGACATAAGCTTTTTGCAAAGAGCATTTTATAAAAATTTAAAGACCTGATTAATCAGTTAATGCATTATTAGGAAAGATAATAAACACATTATTAGTAAAGTGAGATTACAAGCAATTAATTTTAAAATTACACCAGGTACAGGGTTGAATGTAGTCCCATGAAATAAATGTTTGGTTAAGAAAATAGTTTTGAAAAAGATCTCATACTGAAGCTATGTATTACTTTTGTCAAATCAGATTATATAAATCAATAGTCAAGTTTATTCAGTTAAAGAAAATATGCCTATCCTTTCTTATACTCATAAATAAGTACTTATATAGTTTTTATATACAAGTGAAGAAAGTTTCAATGTAAAAAATATACTGCCAATCCACTTATTATGGTTGAAATAGCTCTTTCTATCTACACATTAAATTGCATTGATGAAATCCCAATTTAAATCACATTCAGCCAGCATAAATATTTAAGCTGAGTATTACTGTAAACAATAGAGAAAAAACAAATTTTTTATCTCATCACTTGGGTACACAATCTACTTCTCAGCTTAGCATGCTATAGAAAGGCCCAACATTTAATTTAATCAAATCCAAAACCCACTAACTTAGAGTAAACAAAGTGAATGTTTTTCAAAGTGCATAATTTCCAACTCTTCCACTTGTAATATTTATCCAATTCCAGTTCATCAGCAAGAAAATAAAATGTACTTGGCTATAAAAATACTAAGGAATGTTATTGAAAAGGAAAGGCTATTTGGTAGAAGTAACTACAAAAATAATTAGTTTAAATCTTTGTAAAGCTTTAATGCAAGAACATCAGTACACTTTCTTTCCATAAACCTTAAAGCATGATCAATACCAAGATTTTAAATTTCCACCTTTCAAGTACTTGAAAAAGGTTGCAACAAAGTGTCTCTTCAAAAATTAAGCAAGAAGAATGATCATGCAGGTGTTAATCTGCTAACATTTGGGGACACTGATATCTGTGTTGGGTCGTCATCTCTGGCTCCACTGGTAGCAAGTACAGGCAAGGAGTCACTCTGAAATGTAGATGTAGGACAACTAGTCATGCCAACATTTTCATCTTCACCGGTGTCTGAATCTGGTGTTGTAACTTCACTGTCCTGAAGTCCCAGGATCTCACAAACTGCTTGTGGCAATTCCTGAATATGCAAAATTAAACACACAACCATCCTTCACTATACAGGAAAAGTAATCCAAAGTAACACTTCTACTTAAGACTACATTGATTCCAGAATCTGAACATTTACTCTAACAGTGTGATTGTTATGTATCTTCTCACACCTTCCTTCTCCACTCCAAATGAAATCCTAACCACTTTTTTCATAAGCGGTTCCGTGATCTTCTATTCTAAATTAGTCACTCTCCACCCCACCCTACCACTCCCACAAACGTAAGTTTTCTTTCTTTCTTTTTTAAGATTTAATTTATTTGACAGAGATAGACACAGTGAGAGACAGAACACAAGCAGGGGGAGTGGGAGAGGGAAAACAGGCTTCCCGCTGAGCAGGGAGCCCGATGCGGGGCTCAATCCCAGGACCCTGGGATCATGACCTGAACTGAAGGCAGACGCTTAACTGTCTGAGCCACCCAGGCACCCCAAACATACGTTTTCTAGTATTTAGCATTTATTTCATTCTACCTGTTATTATAGAATCTTAGGTATTAAATGGGATCTTATTTACACCATCTTTCTCCCTTAATGCACACGGTTCCTTTAAGAAAGAAGTGTCTGACATAAATGTTTGTAGAAGTGAACCAAAATAAGTACTTGGAACCATGAACAAATGACACAAAGACCAAATAGGAACTCTCATAAAATACATTAGAAGAATGATTTGGTTGGAATTCAGATAATACATTAAATTTGCCTTGTTTTTAGAAAGAACTAAGAGCCTGACTGATAGAGTTGTAAAGACACAGACTAAATACTATTCATTTAATTATTTCTGATTAGCATCTGTGTTTGGGGATACCACATTTAACATAAGATCCTAGGCTCTATTCAGACTGGAAAATACATCAATACTTAAATTCTACAGCCTCTTTAGTTGTTGCAGAAATGTTTTCATTATTTTTGCCATTTTGCTGTCCTACGTTTCTTATCTAGTATAATTAATTGACTGTTTTCAATTAAGTGCTATAAAATCCATAATGGTAAACAAAATCCTAGCTAATGCTTGGTGCCTGCCTTCAACTTGCTAAAATTGCTATTTATCTTACTTCTACAAAGAAAAATTCTTTCTTGACCTCAATCCACCCAACTGCATACAAATAAAAAATCTTACAATTATTTAAAACACTGTATACCTTGCATTTTACCATCTGTAGAGAAATTGCTTCTGCCTTGCATAGTACATCTTCCACATCAATTTTCATGGACAATTCATTGATATGCTAAAATGAATCCATAAAATAAAATGATAATTGAAACTAAAAGCACTATTATATTCTACTATATAAACAATTTATTACCAGTTATATTTCACTGCGGATAAAATCCTTAAAAGTATTCACATACTACAAATAAGCAGGAAATTCAATATATCTTTCAGTTTTAAAGAATAACTAATAAGTTTATGGAACATTAAATCCAGCATCTGTCCCAAGTCTATTATCTGAAAGTTATAAGCAAAAGACAATTATTTTTTTTAGAAAACTAAACTACATAAAAGAGCATTTGCTGAATTTCCTTTTCTTCCTAATTAGCCAGGTAAAAATAACTGGCCAGTATGTACTCATTGAACTGTCATTCTCAGAGTCAGTAAGTGTTATTGATATAATTTAAGTTTTACTCAAGGGATTCAATAAAGCTCTAAGGAAATGTTTTGTGTATTGGTACCACCAAACAAAGGAAAGAGCCAAAATATTAAAATCTAAATTAAAGGAATAACTACCTTTAGTATTTCATTAAAGCCATAATGCTTTTCCATTATTTGCTGCTTTTCTGATTCCAGAATAGCACAACAGAGAAGAAGATGGAAATTTTTACATGGCAGTTCAGTCCACATTACCTATAAAAAATAGAACTATTTAGTAAACTGTATCAATTCTAAAATATTTTCCTCACAGAAACAATGCTGAACTCTGAATGACTTCTATGCAAAGCAGAAGTTGTCTAGATGGGGTAGACCACTGTTTTTCTAGTTAGGAAATGAGGAGTGGAGAAGTCTTACCTTTACCTACATAGTAACTAACATCAAGTTTACATTATGCGAATATGATGAATTCCAAATGTGGCCCTTTAGGTAACTACCAAGCAAATCACTGAGCCTAATTTATATGATAAATGATATTAATTAAGAAGCTTACATCCATGAGTTTAAGGTATAAGGTTAGAGGCATTTTCAGTATTTTCCTGACCCTTCAGTTTCTCACTTTTAAATCACCTTCAATCTCTGGAGAAATAAAAAAAAAAAAAAGCTAAATCATGGATATAAAAGAAAAAAAATTCAGTTAATAGTGCATGGGATCAAAACTACCCAGAGATAGCTCTTCATTATATTACATAACACAGAGTATCCCTGATTGTGACAAAAACTGAATCAACTACCCAAAATTTATATCCAAATGTATAAAACATCTGATCAATAGCTGCACTTCTTAAATAAAGATAATGACCTCAAATAATAACGTACATAACAATATCTTATCTGGAAAGTGAAAAAGACCCACATAAATAATACTATTAAAGCACACCTGAAATGTTTTTACTTCTTTCATCAAGAGTAAATCAAATTGAATAATTTTCAGACTAAGTCCAATTTTTAATTACAATGCAATTAAGCTCAAAATTTTCATTAGAAGTTCAATTTATTTGGTAAACAGATTGAGGATTATTCTAGCTATACAGTAATAATATTCTCAGTTCACTCTTTAAAAAAGAAGTTGAGATACTTACTCAACCAAACTGATAAAAACTTTAAACTGTGATTCCATACAGAGAACAAAATGGTGGTTGTCAAAGGGAGAAGGGAGATGGGAATGTGGGCAAAACTGAAGGGGATTAAGAGGTACAAAATCCCAGTTATAAAATAAACAAGTCATGGGCATGTAAAATACAACACAGGGAATGTGGTCAATAGTATTGTCATAACTTTGTATGGTGACAGATGGTAACTACATGGAGAGCATTTCATGATGTATATAAATGCTGAATCACTATGTTGTACATCAAACTAATAATACTATATGTCAACTATACTCCAATTTATAAATAAATAAATTCTTTTAAAAAAATACAATGTTGTCAGCAACATATTTACTAGAAAATCAGGATGTGATAATTATTGTTTTTTTGCTTATTAAACCACTAAGATTAAATTTCATAATGACCCCAAAAAATTAATTACATTAAATGAAATAGGATTCCAGCTCAAGAACATATGAGTTTTACTTCTAATTTCAAACAGAAGAAATCATCCCACAGAAAGCAATGATCCTTCAATTAGCACATCACCTTCTCTAATGGTAGCATGGCTGCCAGAAGCGTAGGAACCAATTTCCAGCTGTAAAAGCTTCAAAGGAAACATGGGTTCCACTATGTATGTCTATTTATTATCCAAATGGATTATTCCCCCCATTCCTTCCTTGGGAGAATTTCTGTAACCCCTTTCCTTTATAAAGATAAGGTAGCAATCAGCAATTACACCAACATTCTCTTTTAAAAGAATACTGATCTGTTAACGTAACAATTAACATATTTCAGAAGAAAATAATAATTTTCTGCTTTAATCAAGTTACCCTGGGTCCAAAATGAATAAAAGGATATACATTCATGAATATCCTCTAGAGTTGGGGACAGGGAAATGGGACTTGGGGTGGAGATTAAAGAAGATGTTAGCTACATCTTTAATTCTTTTTCTTGGAAAAGAGAAAAACTAGAAGTAAATATGGCAAAATATTTACCTATGTTAAATATGGATGGTGGGATGTTTGTTTTTTAAATCCACAATTATGTTCCATCTCCTCAACCCCAAGTAATTAGCTAAGGTAATCAGGTCAGAGTCCAAGCTGACTACAAGTGATTAAATGTGGCCTTTCCTACCTTTGGTGTGCCCATTCTGAAAAATAATCATCTCTCACCTCTTCTTGGGAGTAATTTGGCAAAATCTATCAACACACTTAAAAAGTGACTAGTCTTTGATTCAGAGATATCTAGAAATTTATTCTAAGAACATATTCAGAGGTACACATGAAAATTGGAATATTAAGATACTTGCCTTAGTGTTAAATATGACGTTCATTTCAACATTGTTGGTGCAAATAAGCAAAATATCAGATAGAAACTAATTAAATGGTTATATATTCACAAGATGTTTGCTGTATTATTCTTAGTCTTTTTCTCTACCTCAAAGTTCTTTAAAAAAGCAAAACACAAATCAGCTCCCTCCCAATACTTCAGACTACAAAGTGCCATCTCAACTGACTGTGTGTCAAAACTTCCTTGAACTCTATACAAATCTATACCAGAATGTGGAAGAGCCTCACATAAAGTCAAGCCTCCCAAGGAAAGAAAACAATTATGAATCATCTAGAGAAGTGGTTCTAGGAAACCTAGTGGCCCCAAATCTCATGAGGATTGAGATTTATAAAAAATGCTCCAAAGACCAAATATTCAACTCAAGATCATTAAGGAAAGACCATAAAACCATCAGAATTTCATAACATACATGCTTTAGAAATTTCAGTTAGGCTATTATAATCCATTTATACTCTACACAATAAAGTGTTTCTTTCCATAATAAATATTACATTTGTATAATAATTTAAGAACTTACCTCCCATAATCGAAGAATATCTAGAAAACTAAATTCCCTTTTAAATCTAATTAAAAGCCATCTGAAGCAAAAATAAAGGTATCCAGAGTCCTGAGATTCTATACAAAAAGGAAAAAAAAAAAACATATATATGGCTTACTCTTATGCTAATTATCTCAGAATACAGTAACCTATTTCAAACTCAAATTTTTCCATGCAGCTTAAGCTATTAGAAGTCCTAGAAATTTAATTGCCTTCTACTAATTCAAGGAAACAATTCAAATTTGTTTAAAAGAAAACCATAAAAAAAACAAATAATTCATTTTATGAATAAACTGTTTTAAGGCATTATACAAAGAAAGTTTGGTCCCACACTTTGATTCCTCAAAGGAACTCAGGCAACAATGATAGGGTATATGTATCTTTAAGACAGTTCTTTACATTTTTTCTCTTTGTATATATTACCCTACAATTTGTTGGGTATATAATTTTTTTTTTAAAGACTTTATTTATTTATTTGACAGAGAGAGAGATAGCAAGAGCAGGAACACAAGCAGGGGGAGTGGGAGAGGGAAAAGCAGGCTTCCCGCTGAGCAGGAAGCCCCGATGTGGGGCTCGATCCCAGGACCCCGGGATCCTGACCTGAGCCGAAGGCAGACGCTCAACGACTGAGCCACCCAGGCGCCCAATCAAATCAATATAATTTGATTCACTAAACTTACCTAAGTAACTGCAAAATCCACTATCCAACAATCGAAGTAAGGTACTTAGTTGAATTAGCTGGGTCTTCATGCCTTGCATTTGTTCTTCAAAATTTTGATGCTTTAAAGGGAAATAAATGTCACCACATAAATAATACTTAATAAATATTTTACATTACAAAATCACTGATAACTAAACCATGAGTTTAAGGACAAATGCTGGACTTATACCACACTGGTTATATTCTTAAAAATCACAACAAATTAAAAAGCTAAAGCAACATTAAAAAGGAGGGAAAGAGAATCCTTGGTCTCAAACTAAGGATTATTTTTTTCCTCTATTCATTTCACTTAAAGAAGGATGCAGAGCTATAGACTGATATACTGATTTCTTACATGAAATAAGAAAGTTGGTGAAAGAAACACACATCTGGGCAATAAACTTTTATTAAATCACTTCCATTGTTAAATATTTCTTCAAATTGTCATATAAAATAAATTTTAGCTGTAACATAATCTTATTTTGAAGAACTAATTTTAATTATTTCTTAAATTTGATGACATTAGGGAATCTATGAAGTCAAAACCATTTTCATGACAATTCTAAAATACTATATGCATTTTGCACTTTAAACTCTCCCACAAGGGTAAAGGCTGTATGAGGAGTGCTATTGCAGTAGACTGAATACAGGGGCAGATATGAAAATCCAGCTGTCTTCCATTAAACTAGACATCAAAGAAAATGGAAAATGGAAAACAATCCCTCCTCTCAGTAAATTGTTTCTGTTTTGGAAAAGTTACTTTTCATTAAAATATAGTATTATGTATCAAGTATAAAAGGTTTACTGTTATTTTTTAAATAACTAATAAATGTTTATATACTTCTCAGTATTAATTTTTCATATACATAAACATCAAAAGATATAACCTACATAAACAAATGTTCTCAGAGTCCTCAATAGTATCTAAGAGTGTGAAGGGGTCCTGAGATCACAAAGTATGACAACTGCTATGGTTTATATAATTTTAAATATTCTGCAAAGTTGAGTAGACTCCCTACCAAAACTTTAGTCAAGGGTTGTGAGATGGGTGGGGAGACCAAAATAATTTAAAGTCTCCTTAGATCATTCCAATCCCTTTTATCCATGTGCCCCAACCCCTCTATGGTAACCTACTGTCCTAATGCTTATAAAAAGCCTAAAGACAACATCTCTTCCCTCAAACTTCTATTTAAGTTTTGGAGACAAAGCATCATTCTTGGTAAAAATAAAGTAAAGTAACATTTTTAAAGCTAGTGATTGTCAAATAACTGATTTCTTGGGGTGCCTGGGTGGCTTAGTCAGTTAAGCGTCTGACTCTTGATTTTGGCTCAGGTCATGGTGTCAGGGTCATGGGATCCAGCCCTGCATAGCGGGGCATATGCTTGAGATTTGCTTTCCCTCTCCCTCTGCCCCTCCCCCTGCACACTCTCTCTCTAAAATAAATAAACAAATCTTTTTAAAAAACCTGATTTCTCCTTTATGCCTTAAAGAACTAGTTTACTAGACTGACACAAGCCTTTGGGATAGTGTTTCTTCACATTTACCACATAGACCTGTAAGGGAAAGACAGAATCAACTCTTCGATTAACACCATCATTTTTATTATGACAGCCAAAGGTTAAAGTTGGTTTGGCAGTACCAACATGGCATGATCTGCTATAAAAAGAAGCACTCCCAAAATGACAGCTACTTTGGAAAAGTAGCTACTCTGGGAGAAGGGAAAATGAGATCAACAATGGATATACAAATGGCTTCAACTGTATTTGTAAAATAAATACATGTGTGCATACAAATACATACGTATGTGTGCATGTACACAGATACATGTATATATATATACATATATGTGTATATGTGTATATATGTATATATATATACACACATATATATGGGGGAGGGAGGTGAGGAGAAGGAAGGGAAGAACTAAATTACATGGCGAAATAAATAGTGGGTATAAGAAAGTTCATTAGATCATTTTGCTAATCGTTCTATAATATTTCTATAATAGACACATAGCCTACGCCTACACCTACATTAGATACGAGTAAATATAAAAAAAGTAAATCTATGGACATTAGATTCAGTCATCACAAAAGAAATAAAAACTTACATGAAATAAAGCTGTGAAACAAAAAGGAGTCAAATAGCAGTGTAGATTTAAGGACACCAAGCCAATAGCAATGCAGTAAAAAATAATCATGCAGATTATTTTGATTGCAAAATACTGCCCTTTTATTCAAATCGAAAAAAAATGTTAGTAGACAATATATTGAGATTTTTTTAGAATAAAGACTAGAAAAATCCCCAGACTGTCCTCAATGGAAAAGGCAAACACAGAACATTTACGATGAAAAAGAAGAAAGAATTTGAAACTTCATACACAAAAATGACAAACAGACCGTAAAGTATATATTACAGATGTTCAGAAAAGTCTTTACATTTGAGACCTAAATACATGCACAAGTATGTATGTACATATGCATGTAGGTGTACATATATGGCATCATAAGCCAATTTTTTGAACATGCCAATACTGGCTCAATTTTATGAAAATTATTATTGTAAAAATCTAAATGCAGCATGTTCATGTTAATTTTTTTGGAATACTTACTATAAGTAAAGGTCTAAACTAAGCACTGGGGAAATATTCATGTGTTTATTCTACAAAAATCTGTTGCACAAAAACCTCATGTTGGCATTAGGAAAATTCTGGAAGCATACCGGAAAACTAGTTAAACAAAGACATGACCTATCAAGGAACATACTAGCTCTAGTGAAAAGAGGATAAACAACAAAAACACAAGAAAGGCAGACAACAGTTTTTATACAATTAGTATCAGTTGTACAGACCTTTATAACAAATGCCTCAGGTTTCTAGAGCACTTGGGAATAATTGGAACTAAGAAGGCAGGTAAAATCAATCAATCAAAAAGGTAAGGAAGACAAACTATGATATTAGCAGATTACTGCAATTAATAATCTTTCCAAATAATCTAAAACATTAATTCATGTTCAGGACTATGTACTCTGAATACTTATTAATAGTAAAAGATATTTTCAAACTTATCAAATCTTATCAAATATGCATTTGGAAAAGAAGTAGAAGTGAGGATGAGTTGGTACCATGGATATGAGAGACTTGAAGAAATAGATAAAAGTGGGAAAAACTAGGAGGGAAAAGAAAAATTGGAAAGCAAGAGGGGAAGAACAGAAGTATGGAAAAAAGAGAAGGGTACTTCTTCGATTCCACATTTATATCCCAGAAAATGAATTAAACCCTGTATTACAGGGAAACGTTGCATATGATTACATATTCAAAATCTTTATCCCCTTGCAATGAATACCCAACATCAAAGTCCAGCATCAAGTGTATTAGTTTTTCTCTCAAACAGTACTGTGACCTATGTATTCAGGTCTTTGGATTTCATATGCCTTTATCTACTCTTAGTCCTCTGTTGTTTTTTTCTTTCTAACAGATTACTTGAGAAGACTATTCTATTTTGTTTCCCTGTTAATACTCTGTGCTATTGTCCCAGAATTCTGTCTCCAAGCTATTATCAATAGATAAAATGTTCTTTGTAATAATATGTATATATAAACATAGTTCAACTCTAATAATCACACGCTCCTGAGAAAATAACAATGAATTACTAAGAAAGTGTCACTGTTACAAATAGTTCAAACAGATTTAGAAGAAAAATCAGTTACTATAATGACAAAATCCAAAATGTTCACAAAAAGTAAGGATATTACTTGGCATGACTAAGCTTTATCTCCAAAGAAGATATGAAAGTTCAACTACTTCATAAGCACTGAATTCATCTATTCCATCAATATTCTATGACTCACAGCTCTTCTGCAGAACACAAGCATTTACTGATATTAAATCCTGATTATTCCTGTGCTACAGGCACTTACTATCTACATTTTGTATTAAAAATGATTCCATATTTTCAAGCCCCTTGAAAAGGCTATTTTAAAAAGAAACAAACAAACATGGAGCAATTTTAAATTCCAGCATAACTGTCTAAATATAAACACCAATATATAATAAGATTATACAACTAAAATTTTCAAAATTAGTTTGATTAAAGGAAGGAGCCCCTGTTCTTACCATTTGGTCCATATAGGAGGCAAAGCACCAAAAGGCATCCACTTCATTTTCCATCACATATAAAAGAGGGGAAAGTAAGTCACTCATTCCCTGAACATACCCTAAGAATAGAAAAAAAAAAAAAAAAATGTCTCTGAAAACCTAAGCTTTATGTATCCTTCTGTGCATATCACCATGGTTTCACTTAAAATTTCATCTTTTGTTTGCTTTCAGAAACTGGTAGATAATGACGTTTACCAAGAAAAGAGAATAAACAAGGAGGAAGTCTAGCAATCAGTAAGAAAAATGAATTGTTTTAGACTGAAATGTCAAGCAGAGAGCTGCTATTATGTGTCTTAGTGTAGATATCATTACCAAGAGAGGATAATATTACTAAAAAATAATATGCAAAATTTTTATGATAAAGAGGAGGGGTAAAGAGAAAAACCCAGAGGAACATCAAAGGTAAGAGTATATACTCAAAGGACATTTGAGAAGGAGTAGTCAGAAGTAAGGAGGGGGGGGAAATCAAGGGAGAAAATTGTTATAAAAGTCAAGGGGAAAAAAAATTTCAGGACCCAAGCAGCCAACAGCACCTAACTGCCATGAACAAGCCAAATAAAGTAAGAATGAAAAAGGGTCCAACTGCTTTAGCCTGCGGCTATAATTTCTCAGTCATGACAATTATAGCCTATGATTAAAAAGAAAAACTGGAAAGTTAAAGAATCAGGCCCCTCACTTAAACAAAAAGTCTTGGTTTTGCTTTCCACCTGAATATGTCAAGCTTCTTATTTTTTAGTTCTACCTTTTGAAACTCTCAATTTTCTTAACTGTTCAACAATTGATTATTTCAGATTTAAGACAAACATTCTTGAACCAAAAAAGGGGCAAAAGTTCAAACTATGCCTTCTTGCATACATATTATCATTCAACTTTGGTAACTTTTATACATGTGTTAAAGTTACATAGAGGTTTTGTTTTTTTTTCCCAAGGTAGCTTGAAGTCATGGAAAATACAGTCTTTCATGTGTAAGTCCAAAGCTTACATTCTTATTCACAAAAATCAATGTGCACTGAAGCCATTAAGAGTATATATTTTAAAAGGGAAGAGGATATTTCTGCTAGAAATGATACACAATTCCACATCTCTCTTCCTATTTTGGAATAAAGCTTTAAACTTTAACAAATGACCTCAGGAAGCATGTAGGCCAGAGTCTCTTGAGAAACCTCAGATTAGAGGTATAACACAGAGACAATTCAGATCACCTCAGGATCTCCCTACAAATAAAAGTTCATCTCTATCTGTTCTGAGCCTCTGCCCCATCATCTACTGCTGTGTTCCTATCAACCTATGTCTACATGACACCCTGTGGAAAAGTATGGCTTTACTCATATTAACACGGAAGAACACGTGGGTTGCCATGGTGGGCTTCCAATTATTACAGTACCAGGAATAACATTTGGAGACAAGTGCCAGAAAAAAATGGCATATGACATGATATCTAAATGTAATATTTCTACAAATTTATCACAGACGTTTTTTAAAACCATGCACACTTGTGATGATTAATTTGTCAACTTGAGTAGGCCTCAGGATGCTCAAAGCCTGATTAAGCATTCTTTCTGTGAGTGCCCTGAAGGTGTTTCTAGAAGAGATTAGCATTTGAATTGAACTGATGAAAGTAGATGGCCCTCCCCAATGTGGTGGGCACCACCCAGTCCATGGAGGGCTTGAACAGAATAAAAAGATGGAGGAAGGTTGAATGATGTGCTCTCTGCCTGGCTTTCTGAACCGGGACATTGATCTTCTTCTGCCTTTAGAGCTCATGATTCTCATGCCTCCAGATCTGAACTGGCGTCTACACCACTGGCTCTCCTGCTCTCAGGCTTTCCTGGGTCTCCAACTTGGAGACAACAGATTGTGAGACTTCTCATTCTCAGTCTCCATAATCGTGTGAGCCAACACCTTAAAAGAATCTTTTTCTTTCTCTGTGTATCCATGTTAAAATATATAAAATATATATATATATAAACAGAAATAAAAATATATAACCATACATAACCTTAATGGTTCTGTTCCCCTGGAGAACGCTAATAAAAAAACACTTTTTAAAAAAAGAATAGGGGCGCCTGGGTGGCTCAGTCAGTTAAGTGTCTGCCTTCCGCTCAGGTCATGATCCCAGGGTCCTAGGATGGAGCCCTACATTGGGGTCCCTGCTCAGCAGGGAGTTGGCTTCTCCCTTGCCCTCTGTGATCTGTCTCACTCTCTCTCTCAAATATATAAATAAAATCCTTAAAAAAAGAATAAATAGGTTGGAAAGAAGACTAAATTGTTATCAGCACTTTTCTACATGACACTGACACAGTGAAAGCAATGACAAATATAAAGCATGAAAGAAATTTGATCTGAATTCAACAAAGTGCAAAAGATTACTACTTTACTGGGTCTGACTGCATATAGTCTATAACAAAAGTATTTCATAGTGTGCTATTCAAAAGATTTACAAAGCACCTTTCGTCTGGAAAAAAAGTGCTTTATTATAAAGTTATAATGAATAAAAATTTCTAAGAAACTAATTTAATCATTTAAGTCCTCAGCTTTCACTTAGGATCACTACCACATTTCTTATACAAGTCTTAGCTGAAGTAAGTAGTCAAATTAATCTTCATACTCTAGTTGCTTTTTAATCTTATTTTATACATGATGTTCTTTGGGGTATGTCATGAGTTGTGGGGGTGGAATTAATGTACAAATTCCTTTTAATTAAAGAAAGATTAAAGCTGTTTAAATTAGCATTCAGTGACACTAAGATCCTGCAGCAGTGCTGACTGATGCACATCTTAATCAGCACTACTACAATTTCTCAAGTAGTTCCCTAAAATTATTTTCATAGCAAATTTCTTTCAGGGGGGAGGTATGAGAAATGAACTCCTTATCATCCTAGTGTACACGTTCTTCCATTGAAAAGAAAAATTTCACCTACATCTAGGTCAATTTCCAGGTTAACTGAAGCTTAACCCTTAGAGTATCAAATAAAAAATAGTAATCTTAGGAGTTGGAAATCAATTTTTTTTTAATTAGACATTCTGCCTTCTTACATAATTTTCAGAATGATTTAATGTTTTATTGGTTATTTAGGATCATTATTATGTACATACACCACTTAAAAAGATTACCTCCCATAGAAACATCCTAAGTGTAAAGTCTTTTCACTAACTAAAAATTATTCTTCCTGGAGTTCTTCTTTCTGCTTTTGGTAATTTCTGTCTCCTTCCTCCCTATTAATGAGATTGTATTAAATGTAAATATACCTATACCTCATCTATATGGGCTATGAGGCCAAACAACTCAATATGATATAGAATTACCTACAGGAGTAAATTTACAGGCCAGGTTACTTTGCCATGGTAAAAGACAAGAAATTTGGTGCACTGCTTTAGGAAAAATACCTTGGCTCCTCACAAGGCCAGAGTTCAGGAACCTTGGCTATGTTTCAGATAACTTAAGTATTTGACTAGAAAGAATGAGGGATTAATACGGACAAATGAAGATAGCAATTTATCCAGTTAGCTGGTCTGGGACTATGCCCTGAAAAAAATGAGCATTTAGGAACTCCAAAAAATATGCATGAATTCCTATCTCAAAATTATCACCTGAGAGTACAAGACAATGCCTCTTGTTCCCTAAGACAATGGTCCTAGTCCCTGTAGTAAAATGGCAATGGGTCAGCGTGGCGGATGTGTAGAGGTAAAAATGCCAGCCTAAAATAAAGACCTGGGTCTCTACCCCAGTCCAATATTTACTACTTGTGCAACCTTGAGTCACTCTCTAAAACAATAAAACCTTACTCATAAAATTGGGATTATTTCCCCACTTCTTCAAAAGGCTGCTATTAGTAATGAGTCAAAATCAAGTATGACAGTGCTTTAACCTGTTTTCTTTTTTTTTTTTTTAAGATTTTATTTATTTATTTGACAGAGAAAGAGACAGCGAGAGAGGGAACACAAGCAGGGGGAGTGGGAGAGGGAGAAGCAGGCTTCCCGCGGGGCAGGGAGCCCGATGCGGGGCTCAATCCCAGGACCCTGGGATCATGACCTGAGCCGAAGGCAGACGCTTAACAACTGAGCCACCCAGGCACCCCTAACCTATTTTCAATGATCCAATCTGAGGTGTGATAGATAGGACTGGCTAAATTTTACATTTTAAAGATAGATGTGTGGTTTTCAATTTACTGTCACCAAAGAGGCTGATGCCTCAAGATCCACAAAAGAGTTTATATCTTCCCCCTAACATATAAAAGAGAAATTCACAAAGATACAAACGGTGAGGAAAATGTACCATAATTCAAGGTTCAATTAGGTTTAATATGCTAAATATCCCGTTACCTTCTCCAAAAGCTGTCTCAAGCTTTATTAAAATAATCTGGAAAAGATCTCTTTCCATTATTCTCTACTTGGGAATCACTCACGTGGTAGATAACTCAGAAACTTTTCCATTCCTTACACTTCCTTAAAGGCTGATGCATAGAGAATTTCCTTTAAAGAAACAGCTCAAGTTCCCTTATCCCTTAAAATATTAATTCCTTATATTTTCTACCCCTTAAATCTTCCCCATGCAATCCACTACTGCCCCTACCAGCCCGTCTTCCTATCCCATTTTGGTAGGAAGCACACTTACCAAGAAAAGAGAGTAAAATTCTACATGGCCTAGATAATATTTATCTGCATGGCTTGTCCAAGATATCACCACATCAATATCTTCCTTCACAAGGGAGGAAAGCATTTAAAACAAAGTTTCCCAAACTTTCTCAGTTCAGACTCCATAATGTCTTAGTAATTTTTTCTAAGGCACCCCTAGGCTCAAAGAAATAAACTAACAGTTCCATTTATTAAGTACTTAGATACAAACAATTTAACAACAATTTATGTTCTATGAACTTAGCACATGTTGGGCACTGCACTACTTCTCAAACCTTGGAATCCAACTGGATGCCACCAGCCTCATTTCCTGTCCTTCATCTATTTTCACACAGTACTTGCTTATCATGACAAAGCCAAAAGCCCTGCTTTGCAAAACTATAAATTCATCAGGAGGAATTTGGAGATCTAATGTTGAAACTCTGAACTACTTCAGCGAGGACTCAGAGCAGTATCCTTACAGATGTCACTATCTTTCTCAAAAATTTAAAATATCCCACATTGCCCCACAAGTATGCTGTGGCAACCCAGTGCTCTTCAGTGCACAATCTGGGAATCACAGCCTTCCAAGTTTCCTGTCCAACAGAAAAATACCTATAGAAACTAGCCCATAGAGCTGCTACATATGCCTAACAGGTTAATAAATTTAAATTCTAAAATAAATATATATAAATCTTATAAAATTAGGATATTAGAATAGAACTTACCTAAGTCAAAATCATACATACAATAGGTCATCAAAATGTCATGAAGCAAGATCAACCCTGGATTATCTTGGCCTTCATAAAACTTGTTTGTTCGATCTGTTCTATTAACATCTTTTTCTGAGGAGGAAAATCATCATATATTGGAAAACTTTTCAAAAAAATTCATCAAGTTCCATTTCAGATATGCAATAAAGTCAGATTTTAGAATATTTTTCAAAAATCAGTCCACTTCTTCATGGGTATATTTTCAAATATTTTTCAATTCTTATCTAAACATAGGAATTTTTCAATAGTAGAAAACACTTTTAATTAATTAAAAGCAATGCCAATAATTCACATTAGTTAGCAATAAAAATGCTAGTCATGAATGCATGTGATAGGCAGTAATACTTGAAAATGTAGTAAAAAAAAGCTACTACGCAATCAAGTGTAATCAATGAGATTTGTTTCAATCTCATTTGCTTCATTCATTATCAACTTCTTTGTCATGTCCACAATCATATTCAGGACAAATTACTTCCTTATTCTCATACATAAATTATTCAGTTTACATATCAGCATAAATAATTTAATTTTGAAAAAATGAAAACCCACACTGTGCTAGAAATGATTTCATGATATTAAAAACAAGTTTGGAAACATCACCATGAGTGTATCCCAAGTTGTACTGACAATTCAATTCACAAATACTAATACCTATTAAATGCAGCAATTTATTGTGGAAGGCTTTACAACTAAAAAGGTATTCCCCAAACGAATCCCTCAGTAAATGAGGAAGAAATAATTTAAAGAAACTCAAAACTGTTTAATCAACTCTATAATCAGTTGTTTAAAAAAGTTATAACTGACCTCTCCCTCCACTTCACCCCATTAAAATGAATAAATTGAAAACATTCTCAATACAGGTACTCCCGCTTTTCAAAAGTTTGCATTACACCACTTTATCTTTACAAAAGACCTATATTAGAACCTGTTTTCATTAACCAAAAGAAATCCAAAGATTTTCACTTTTACAAAAAAAAGACAAAAAGTGAAAAGAGCATTCAGGGTTTGTTTTGCACTGAATGGTTACAGAGGCAGCACTAGTCCTGGGCAGCTAAAGGTGCCCCACCACGCTCCTTCCTCAGGACCTACACTCAACATCTCAGCATCAAGCCACCACAGCTTTGAACTGTGTCTGTGGGCATCTGTGCTGTATTTTGATTGATTTTGTGTATCTGTTAGCAAAAAGCCTAAAAGAGGTTATTTTTTGGGTCTGGGAATGCTTAAAAATCTTCCATATAACAGTAATTATTTCTTTGCTTAACGCCATTCAGACTTATGAAAGGTCTCATAGGAATATCTACTTTCAGATAGCAGGGTAAGCCTGTACTTGTGAACAGATGGGGAGGTATTTTACAACAGAGGAGAATCTAACAATAGAAAATGACATGAGTTTAGATTCTGTAAGGGCATTTAAAAGAAAATATGAGGACAATATTACAGCTTTCTATTAAAATACACTATATTGGAGGAGCAAGATAGCAGAGGAGTAGGAGACCTAGATTTTGTCTGGTCCCAGGAATTCAGCTAGATATGGATCAAACCATTCTGAACACCTACAAACTCAACAGGAGCTCAAAGAAAAGAATAGCAACTCTTTGAACAGAAAAGCGACCACTTTCTGGAAGGTAGGACGTGCGGAGAAGTGAATCCGAGGTGATGATACTCGGGAAGATAGATGGCAGCGAAGGGGGCCTCCGTCAGCCGCTACCGGCAAGTGACAGAGCAGCAGAGCACAAAATCGGACCTTGCAGAAGTCTGCTCCACTGAAGGATGTCGCTCCAGTGGCTAAGTGGAGGGTGGAACCCTCGCTGGGACAGTGTGATCTCAGGACCCTCAGGGTCACAGAAAGACTGGGGGTGCCTGAGTGCAGCAGAGCTCCCAGGTATCAGAGGGGGGAAGGCCGCTGCAGAGATGGAGCCGAGGAGCGGGCTCTCAGCTGGGGGTTGCCATAAACCGTGATCTGCAGCACAGTCAGGCCACTGCTCTTCCAGCAGGGATCAAACAAGCAGCAGATCCAGGGAGACTCCCCTTCCTCCCCCTGGGAGGAGTGGCGCGGGAGTGCACCCCAGGACTCTGCTGAGTTTGGAGACTCCACACGGGGTCAGGGGCCAGAGATAGAAACGCTTGGTCACAGGCCAGGTGAGCACGGAGTGCGGCTGAAGACCGGGGAGACGGAAGTGATTGACTGCTTTCCTCTGGGGGCTCAATGAGCAGTGAGGCCCGAGTTCTCGGTTGGGGGAGTAGGGGGTGGAGATTGGGAGGCCGCCATTTTCACTCTCGTCCTCCAAAGCTGTACAGAAAGCTTGCAGGGAACAAAAGCTACCAAGAGCAAACCGGATTAGATTACTTAGCCGGACCGGCAAGCGTGGGGCAATTCCACCCCCGGCAAAGACATTTGGGAATCACCGCAACAGGCCCCTCCCCCAGAAGATCAGCAAGAATAGCCAGCCAAGACCAAGTTTACCGATCGATGAGAACGGCAGAACTCCAGCACTAGGGGAATACAGCACATAGAACTCATGGCTTTTTTCCCCCTGATTCTTTAGTCTTTCAAAGTTAATTTTTTAAATTTACTTTTTTTCTTCTTTTTTCTTTTGAGTTTTTCTTTTTCCCTTTTTCAACCAATATCTTATCAATCCCTTTAAAAATCTTTTTTATTTTTCATTTTTAGAGTCATATTCTATCCCTTCATAGTAGTTAACCTTATTTTTGGTATATATATAAGTTGTTCTCTCTTTAAAATTTTGGGATGCAGTTTCTTCTAACAGACCAAAATATACCCTTAATCTCTAGTGTATGGCTTTGTTCTAGTCTCCTGCTTGATCACATTCTCCCCCTTTTTCTTCCTCTTCTTTCTTTTTTTCAACCAACTTCTTATCAATTCTTTTTATAAAATCTTTTATAATTTTCATCTTTATAGTCATATTCCTTCCCTTCATTGTATCAACCCTTATTTTTGTACATATATTAAGTTTTTCTTTAAAATTTTGGGAGGCACTTTCTTCTAACAGACCAAAATACACCCAAAATCTAGTGTGTGGCACTGATCTATGCACCAGCCTGATCATATTTGATCATATTCTTTTTTTTTAAATATTTTTTCTTTTTTCTTTCTTTTCCCCCAGTTTCAGGTCTCTTCTGAGTTGTTTAGTGTATATTTTCATGTCTCTTCTGAGTTGTTTAGTGTAAATTTACCCCATTAGCATTTTGTTCTCTCATTCATCTATTGTCCTCTGGACAAAATGACAAGACAGAAAAAAAATCACCTCAAAAAACAGAACAAGAGGCAGTACCAACTACCAGGGACCTAATCAATACGGACATTGTTAGTAAGATGTTGGAACTAGAGTTCATAAGGACGATTTCAAAGATACTAGCTGGGCTTGAAAAAAGCATGGAAGATATCAGAGAAACCCTCTCTAGAGAAATAAAAGAACTAAAATCTAACCAAGTCGAAATCAAAAAGGCTCTTAATGAGGTGCAATCAAAAATGGAGGCTCTAACTGCTCAGATAAATGAAGCAGAAGAGAGACTTAGTGATATAGAAGACCAAATGATGGAAAATATAGAAGCTGAGAAAAACAGATAAACAACTACTGGATCATGAGGGCAGAATTCGAGAGATAAGTGATACCAAAAGATGAAACAATATTAGAATAACTGGGATCCCAGAAGAAGAAAGAGAGAGAGGGGCAGAAGGTATACTGGAGCAAATTATAGCAGAGAACTTCCTAATGTGGGGAAGGAAACAGGCATCAAAATCCAGGAGGCACAGAGAACCCCTCTCAAAATCAATAAAAATAGGTCAACACCCCAACATCTAATAGTAAAACTTATGAGTCTCAGAGAAAAAGAGAAAATCCTGAAAGCAGCTCGGGACAAGATCTGTAACCTACAATGGTAGAAACATTAGATTGGTAACAGACCTATTCACAGAGACCTGGCAGGCCAGAAAGGACTGGCATGATATATTCAGAGCACTACATGAGAAAAATATGCAGCCAAGAATACTATATCCAGCTAGGCTGTCATTGAAAATAGAAGGAGAGATAAAAAGCTTCCAGGACAAACAAAAACTAAAGGAATTTGCAAACACAAAACCAGCCCCACCAGAAATACTGAAAGGGGTCCTCTAAGCAAAGAGAGAGCCTAAAAGTAACATACACCAGAAAGGAACAGAGACAGTACACAGTAAGAGTCACCTTACAGGCAATACAATGACACTAAATTCATATCTTTCAATAGTTACCCTGAATGTAAATGGGCTAAATGCCCCAATCAAAAGACATAGGCTATCAGATTGGATTAAAAAACAAGACCCACTGATATGCTGTCTGCAAGAGACTCATTTTAGACCCAGAGATACCTCCAGATTGAAAGTGAGGGGGTGGAAAACCATTTACCATGCTAACGGACACCAAAAGAAAGCTGGGGTGGCAATCCTTTTATCAGACAAATTAGATTTTAAACCAAAGACTATAATAAGAGATGAGGAAGGACACTATATCATACGTAAAGGGTCTATCCAACAAGAAGATCTAACAATTGTAAATATCTATGCCCCTAACCCCTGGGAGCAGCCAATTATATCAGGCAATTAATAACAAAAGCAAAGAAACACATCAACAATACAATTAATAGTGGGGGACTTTAACACCCCCCCTCACTGAAATGGACAGATCATCTAACCAAAAGATCAACAAGGAAATAAAGACTTTCAATGACACACTGGAACAAATGGACTTCACAGATATATTCAGAACATTCCATCCCAAAGCAACAGAATACACATTCTTCTCTAGTGCCCATGGAACATTCTCCAGAATAGATCACATCCTAGTCACAAATCAGGTCTCAACCGGTACCAAAAGATTGGGATCATTCCCTGCATACTTTCAGACCACAATGCTTTGAAACTAGAACTCAATCACAAGAGGAAAGTTGGAAAGAACTCAAATACAGGGAGGCTAAAGAGCATCCTACTAGGGGCGCCCGGGTGGCTCAGTTGGTTAAGAGACTGCCTTCGGCTCAGGTCATGATCCTGGAATCCCAGGATCGAGTCCCACATCAGG